TCACTTTCTGGTTCTCAGTGGTGCATTTTTCCTTTAGGTTTTTAGTGTTGGGACCCTATTTGACAGCTGGTGTTTGGCAGCAGAAACTCAGGGGGAGGGGGAAAGGATAAAGAACAGCCTACACACTGGGATGGACTAGAGTTGACAACTCTGCTCTTCAGGGACAGAGGAACTTTCTGGCATAAGGATACAGCTTATCTGCTTTCTTGGTGACCAGTCTGAGGCTGTGCGATGAACTCCCTCAGGAACTGAGACCCACAGCAAACCTCCCCACCTTCTACTCCAAGGGCAAGGCAGTTTTCTTTGAGAGAAGGGGGAAAGGGAGAAAGAAAACTTCTTGAGGGGCATGGGGAGATCACAGAATCATAGAGGGTTGGAAGGGACCTCAGGAGGTCATTTAGTACAAACCCTGCTCAAAGCCCAACCCCAACTAGATCATCCCAGCCAAGGCTTTGTCTACCCAGGTCTTAAAAACCGTCAAGGATGGAGCTTCCACCACCTCTGGGTAACCAGTTTTAGTGTTTTATTACCCTCCTAGTGAGGGAGTTTTTTCCCTTGCTGCAACCTGAGACCATTGCTCCTTGTTCTGTCTTCTGCCCCCACTGAGAACAGCTTAGCTCCATCCTCTTTCGAATCCCTCTTCAGGTAGTTGAAGGCTGCTATTATATCCCCACTCAGTCTTCTCTAATCTAGACACATACCTACATGTATATTTATAAAAGCAAAGATAAAAGTACCAAAACAAAACACTGCACCACAGACACAATTTTCCCTCCAGGGAGTCCATGAGAGAGAGAATAAATTAAACATGGCATGTTAGTCGTCATGCTTAATGCAGTAGTGGAGGTCAGTCAATTAAATTAAAAATATAGTTCCCTAATGTAGACCTTCTCTCCACACACATTTGCACTGAAATAACTAAGTTGGTGTTCATCTCTGTGGATTCTTATTTAAAAATAAAACTATCCTATTTGAATGTTGCTTATGTTAGTAAAGCACTGACTTAACCCTGTCCTGTATACATACACTTTTTATACTAATATAATAAGTATTTTGGTTAGGTGGTTGATTTGTTACTAGTAAGGTTATATTGATCCCACTATACCAGTTTATAGAGTAGTGGATCCCATTATATCAATTATATTGGTGCCTTATACCAGTATAACTTATTCCTTTTCTTTTGTGGCATGGACATATAAGCCATTTACTATAGGATAGAATCACAGAATCATAGAAAATTAAGGCTGGAAAGGACCTCAGGAGGGCATCTAGTCCAACCCCCTGCTCAAGACGGGATCATTCCTGTCTAAACCACCCTGCACAAGTATCCACCTAGCCTATTCCAAATAAAGCTGTATTAACAACACTCACATGCAACTACCAGGTACAGTGTCCCAAAATATTATGAACAACTGAACTTGCCACAAGTAAAGCAAGGGGATGAGGGCACTGTCAATGTCCTGCTAGTGCAAGGACAAAGGACAAAAGGGGACAGAGCTTTACTGGCTGTGTCTACATGAGCAGCAGACCATGCAGTTGTTACTGCGCAGACATTTAGTACTTGCATGAGCAAGTACTAAATGACTGCACAGTAACCAGAGTTACTGCGCAGTACTGTCACCTTATCTTTTTTTTCCGCTGCTACTGCGCAGTAGCAATAAACTCATTGCTACTGCACAGTAGCATCTCATGTAGACGCCCCCCATGTGTGTTGGCTGCCCTGCACTAATTGTCTGTGTACACACTCTGACTCCATTGACCCCATGGTAAATTGAAGCTGAACCATGGTAGTTTAGCACTTAGAGGGTTACATTTGACTCCTGGTTTGATTTCCATGGTTTGCCTTCTGTTTATCACAGGGTAAGAACATGCACAAAGTCAAGTACTACAGAAAAGCCGATGGATGGTAAGCCTCATCTCATATGCCACAGCAAGCTGTTCATATACTGGGATAAGCGCACACACACAGTATATAGTTAAATCATTACCACTTTTCTTTGAGTGTCCATATGCAGCCTTGCAGTGACAATAAAAATTATGAATTAGGACAATTTTTAATTAATTTGGTACCAGTTTTGCATATGTACAAAGGTTTGGTACACAAAGGGCTTCAGATAACTGGCAAAGTTCAGCATTTGAAGTAATCTTTTCTTTTTCTTGCTTTTTCTTAGGTTGCACCACTGTTGCTCAGTGTGATCATCATGACATGAAAACACAAAAGAGCAAACTGAAAAGGTAATGCTAGATCAGAGTGCAAGTAAAAGCTCTTTTGCTGTCTCAGAGGGCTACAGCAAATCAATCCTTGGAGGATGTCTTCCCTTCCTAAATTACAGGTTTTGTCCCACTTTGAGCTGTTGTCTAATGATTAGAACAAGACTCTGAATAGGAATCTTGTGTTCTTTCACCAACTTTGCTACCCTGAGCAAGTCACTTACCTTCTCTGCCTGTTTATTCATTTGTAAAATGAGAATGAAAATAAATATTCTCAGGGGTGTTATTTAATGTTTGTGCAGTGCTTTGTAATTTGTGACTAGAAAGTAGACACTTAGTTGGCCCATACTCTATTATGATGTCACCCCATGGCATTTAAACCTTACAGTGTACAACAACAATGATCATTGCTTGATGAAGACAGAGATTCTGGATAAAGGGACTCTTACAATGATTTAGCAGTGTATACATTTCTTGTGTGTCTCATACAGATTCCAGTTCCTCTAAACACAGCTTTCACCTCCTTCTTGATTGTAATTCTTATGGAAAGTAAATGACTTGTGTCATCGCTGTTTGCTTCTAGTTATTAGCTTGTTCCTTCCCTCCCAATTGTACAAGCTGGGCATCTATGCTGTCATTGGTAATGGCCTGGCCACAAGTGAGTCTCTATCATATCCAGTAGCTCTTTCTTTGCAACTAGACCTATCTAGTTATACAACTGGTTCCAAAGTTCACTATTGAAACTGTGCAGGGGCAGAAAGGACATTTTAGTTATACCATTGTATATGTCCTCATTAGACCCAACTAATCAAGATCCTAGTATTCAGACACTACAGTAGCAAGGCGTACATAATTACCTAGGTGGATAGATCAGAGAACTCAGGCATCTCAGGCACTTGAGATCTAGGATGCCAATGAAATATCTGTTATTTCACATAGATCATTGATCAGTAACAGAAGAATGCTGGAGAACTATAGTGCCTGCTGTCATATCTAATTCACTGCACTGTATAACAGTGGGTCCCATTAAAATCAGAAAAATGAAGAAATGACAGCTCACTTCACATATGACAGCTTTTCTGTGAAAACTGAATGACCATGAAAATCATGGACTCAGTTCCTGATTCTTCCACTGACTCACTCTGTGGCTTTGTGCAAACCAGATAACTTACCTGTTTCCGCATCCAGACATGACAGCACCACCTACCTCCATTCCAGGCAAGCTGTGAGATGTAATTAATATACATAAACCACTTTATAATCCTCCTAAGAAATATCCTATTTATACTAACTGTATTTAACAACAGTCCTTATTTGGGGCAGAGTGAACATTTTCAATTAGTATCAATTTTGCCTCTCAATCCCCAAATCTCTCCCAGTTGCAAGCATTTTAGTGGTGCTAAAACCCTGCACTCCCACTGCCAATTTGTCAGTGCCTACCTTTAGCTAGCTGGCTAGTTAGTGTCCAGTGGGAGGATCTTGTTTACACACCTACTGTAAGAAAATGGGGGACTTCTCCCTAGCTTGCTTCTGTGGCCTGTGGTTTAGGGCAAGTGAGATGTGGGGGCATTCAACCCCCAAGCCTCTGGGGCTTGGGCCTGAACATAGGATGCCCACCATTGGGTTTGGGAGTATCTAAAACCCCAGGTTGAAAAGTCTGGGGTGGAGGATACTTGCCTGTTGTAGTGCCATGTATATGGTGTGTGAAGAACTGAGTTCAAATCAAGAGGATTTGGAACCGATCTGAGTTCAGTCGAGAGGATTCGGAACTGATTTGGCTGATTTGACCTGGAATAGGAAATTTTTTCCACAAAACAGAAAGAAAGAAAGAAACAACCTCCCCCCCACCAAGTCAGTTAAGACTCCTTGAGAGTGCCTTGGGTTTTCCACAGGTTGTGAATGAAGGGGGAGCTCGGGAGAGCGGAGCGAGCCCGTGCCCCCTCCTAAGAGACCAGAGCCCCCTTGCAAGATTTGAAAATCACAGCCTGATGGGGCCGCTCCTTCACCTAGGTGGACTTGTTAAGCAATGAGCCGGTTTAATTTTGTTTGTAATCCCCTCCCCGCCCCCGAGTCAAAGTGTCACTGGCCCCCGGTTTTACACCGGCCGCCTCACACACGATCGTGCACGTGGCGCACTGTTACCATTACAGCTGGCGCACGAGTTGGAAGGGCGCTCCGCAGCGCGCAGGATCCGGCCCGCACACCTGGCCGCCCCGGGAGGGGCGGGGAAGGGGCCGGCTGT